GAAGGTGTGTAAGCTATCTGCTGTCCTGATGTCAATGGGGAGCTCATTCCACCATCTTGGAGCCAGGACAGCAAACCCACGTGTTTTCGCCGATGGGAACTTGGGTCCCCCTCGCAGCGAGGGCGCAACGAGTCGTTTGGCTGATGCAGAGCGTAGTGCACGCGCTGGGGTGTACGGTTTAACCATGTCCTGGATGTAGGAAGGGCCAGATCCATTCGCAGCATGGTAAGCAAGTACCATTGTCTTGAAGTGGATTCTAGCAGTTACCGGAAGCCAGTGAAGGGAGCGGAGGAGCGGAGTGGTGTGGGAAAATTTAGGAAGGTTGAAGACCAGACGAGACGCTGCATTCTGGGTGAGCTGCAGACGTCGGATGGCACATGCAGGTAGACCAGCCAGGAGGGAGTTGCAGTAGTCTAGGCGTGAGATGACGAGAGCCTGGACCAGAACCTGCGTGGCTTTCTGAGTCAGCTGGGGATGTATCTTCCTGATGTTGTAAAGCGTGTATCTGCAGCAACGGGTTGTAGCAGCGATGTTTGCAGTGAAGGACAGGTTGTTATCTAGGGTCACACCCAGATTCCTTGCAGTCTGAGTCGGGGAAACAACTGAGGTGCCGATGTTGATTGTTAGGTCAAGAGTGGGACAATACAAGACACTAGTAAGATAAAAACCCTAATTTAACAGCACAAGTGTCACCTGTTCTGTAAATGCAAGGGAGAAGAAGTGAGTTTTAAAACGAGATTTAAAAACAGGCAGAGTTGGAGCAAGTCTAACCTGGAGGGGCAATTCGTTCCATAATTTTGGAGCTGCAACAGCAAAGGCTCTGGCCGTTTCTCAATCTCGAGGATACTGGCTTCCAAGCCAATATTTCAAGGATGCTACGTCATCGAGTGCCGCCGAAGGACTGTTCCAATCTCCAGCATACTTGGAATTCCACCGAGGCCGCGTCCTTGGTTTGGGGGAAATTTGGTTTGGTTTGGGACTTCGCGTCCTTAAAATCCCCACAATGCTTTGCGCACGGACCAATTTCAAAAACCCTTGCGGAGAATGGCTGAACCGACGCAGCACACATTTAAATGTTACGGCCCGTCCACACAGCGGCGTGCGTTGACGCTTCACCATTCACTTTGAATGGGGTGACGTCACTTTTCGCCAAACTGCATTGTGAGAAGCGACGCGGAGCGTGGCTCGCTGCAAAAGTTGAGAAATGTTCAACTTTTGACGCCTCGGCAGAAGCGTCAGCCAATCGAATCATATGCCAGTACAAGCTCTAGCCAATCAAACCGCTGCGTGTGTGTCAGGGGCGGGAGATTCATGTGATTGGTTGTTGGTCGAGTTTCAAGCTTCAACGCTGTGTGGACAGGCCGTAGAACATGTGTTGGTAAATATGTTACTTTGTTACATTTGTTTGTTATCACCAAAAATGTGTTCCGTGAAAGTAAAGCAAGTTCATAATTAGATAGACATCGTGAGGTATTTATTTTCGGTACAGTTTATGTTGAAACCGTTAGAGAGAGTGGCACACTTGTTAGCCTGTTCCATTCTTATTCATTTTCCAAAGCCGTGGCTTGGAAGCATACTTGCTTCGTTTCTGAAGGAAGTGACTTGGAAGTACGCGACTACCAAGCCAGTATCCTCGCGATTGAGAAACACCCACAGTCTCCTCGCTGCTTTAACCTCGATTTAGGGACGACCAGAAGGAATCTGTCAGCCGACCTCAGTGACCGTGTGGGTGTGTATGGTTTTAAAAGATCTGCCAGGTACGGTGGGGCTAAACCGTTTAGGGCTTTGTGTGCAAACAATAACATGGTAATGGTATTCTAAAACTGACTGGTAGCCAATGTAACGAGGCTCGGTCATTCCAGAATTGGAGGACAATTTAGACACCAACATTTTTGAAAAATTAACCTTTTATTTAATTTTTTTTTGTATTTAGGAAAAACAGATAATAAACCATCAAAAAAAGTGATTTGCCCAGCTAGGCATCAAATTAATATTTTCCAATGAAGAATTACCCCTGTTACTCTAATTATAGTAACAGGGTTGAAAATCAATGCTAATTTGAGCTTTAACCTCAGGAATTATTGCTAGATGTAGCATGTAATGCTACTTTCAAGGCAAGGACACACTTGGATATCTAATGCAAGAAAGATAACTTTTAAATGAATATGATTTATTCTGATAATATCAGTAACAGGGTTGAGTGGGTCAGAGTGCCACACTCTTTTAAGACTGAAAAGATTGTAAAAATATGAAAAATAAAAAAGAGGACTTAGTTGTGGTCTACCCATGGGACTAGCACATGGCTTGCTGATGTCACTTCCACTGTGTCATCTGATTTACAGTTTGTTCACTTCCTGTGCCAATCTAAAAAGGTTTGGGTAACAGGGTTGAACACATGTTGAGGGACACACCTTCTGTGCAAAATTACTGTTATCTCAAATATGTTTATGATTTAACAAATTGATTTTACCATTACAAGAGACATATATCAATAGAATAATACCAAACTGAGCCGTTGTGTTCATCAGTAAAGTGGAACTTCTGTGTGAACTATTCATATCTTAAACTGCACTGTAACTTTTTATTCATGTACTTTTTATTCATGTATTTTTTCTTTTAATGTTTCTTTTATTATCTTTTACTGTTTTTAAATGCCTTTGTCTGAATGTCTTTGATTTTTGTAAAGCACCTTGAATTGCCTTGTGTTGAAAGGTGCTATATAAATAAACTTGCCTTGCCTTGCCTTACCAAAAAAAGTAAATAAAATCCCTATTTTAAATGTTATATTTGACATGCAAGTTGGTCACCAAGAAGCGGGGACAAGAGAAAAATGCCATTTTAGGGGATGTTCGAGAGCTATTTGATCATTTAAATAATATTTTGAAACCACTTTTTCTACAACTTTATTTACATTTTGTCTCAATACAAGTATGTTTAACACAACAAGTGCATGTTTTAGCATTTTGGGCATGGATTATTAGATTTTTTATATGGGGGACATGAAATGTCCTCCAATTCTGGAATGACCCGGCGTAATATGTTCACGCCTGCCTATCCTTGTAAGGAGGCGTGCAGCAGCATTCTGGACCAGCTATAGGCGAGACAGGGAAGCCTTGCTTACTCCAATGTACAGAGCATTGCAGTAATCCAGTTTAGTGGATATAAAACAATGTATTACTCTCTCAAAGTCATTATGGATGGACATGTTAAACTGTCAGCGCCTGCATAGGAAGGCACAACATAAAATCCATCAGGAGACTCATCTGCCAACGTTTATTTATTCGTCATTTTAAAATATAAGTATGTGTTCATTAGAATAGAATAAAGTCAAATATGACAGTATATAGTGGTTATGGGAATAAGGGATATGCAATAGGTATGATTATGTGAACCTTATACAACAGGAAAAATATATATATTATGACGTTTTTGGCCGTTTTTTTAATTATATATTACACATCATTTACACTGAATTAAATGTATATACAGAGAGTTGTATTATAAATTCATTTAATCTGGTATATTGTTGTTTGGATGCTTTTAACTGTTTTATTATGCAATGTAATCTTTTTATTTTCTCTGTTGCATTTCCAGGAGTTTAGTTAATTTTTCATGTTTTTATGAAGAAATTAAATGTTTTGATGGTGTGTGTTGGACGCTTGACCATTTTGTAAACAAAATATAATATATAATATACCAATGATAATACAAATAATTGTAAACATTAGACTTTGTATGATTCATATAAATTCAGTTAGAGGTTGTGCGTTTTCTCGTGTCCCCTCTTTAACCTCTGTCTGATTAATGACACAATTAACCTGCTGACTGTGTGTGTGTGCGTGTGTGCGTGCGTGCATGTGTGTGTTAACTGTCCCTTCATTAGCTGAGGTTATTACCAGCTGGAGGGCAGATTAGAGACTCACACGCACGCACGCACACACACACACACACACACACACACACACACACGCACACACACACATATAGTTAAATGTGTAGTTTTGTTAATGCTTAATGAGCAACTGTTAGCCACATGCTACCATCAGGACTCCAGTGATCATAATGACTGTCTGGAGGTGCTTTGGGCTAAATGCTAACATGCTAAAATGTTTACCATGTTAACCTACTAATTTTAGCGTGTTAGCATGCTAACATGAGCAAGTTAGCATGCTAACATGAGCAAGTTAGCATGCTAACATGAGCAAGTTAGCATGCTAACATGAGCAAGTTAGCATTAAACTAACAAAGGTTGTCATAATGTCATTAGTGCTGCAGGTATTTGTTCATAACCCTATGACAGTATTGGACAAACTAAACTTGCATTCCCTAAAATATTGCCTTTTTCTTTATCTATCGTTGCATCCTCTAAAACCAACACATTCTCACAGCATTTTGTGTTATAGTCACGAAATTAATCTATTGATTCACCAACACGATTTCGCGATGTTTTCGTGTCACACAGAACGATTTTAAAAGCAATGTAAATAATAACAAATTAGAAGGAAAAAAATATTTTAAAAAATACAGATTTCAGTATTCTGAGGCTCTGAGCCCCATTTATTTTCCTCGCAGACGGCAAAAAAACTCATACATACAATTTAAAATAAAAGGGTTAGGCTTAGGGTAAGATATAGCAGGCAAACTTACTACCATTAGAAATACATTGCTTTTAAAATCGTTCTGTGTGACACGAAAACAATTCGAAAATCGTGTTGGTGAACACGAATCAATAGATTGAATTGATATCATGAATATAACACGAAATGTGTGAAAGACTGGGTTGCTAAAACATTGGATCATTTTCTACCATATTTTTGCCTTTTTCTAAAACTGTTGTTGTTTATTCCAAAAAGAGAAATCACAGTTTAATTAGAGGATTAACTTCAAGAGAGTCTTTAGGCACAAAAGATGGAGTTTAACAAACATTTAATGAATACTACAATGATAATGAATCAAAGAACAGACAATACAAATTACAGCTAATGCTGATGGGGATGTCATACATTCAGCAGATATTCAACCATAAACGAAAAGCAGTATTTTTAACAATGGTTCTTCTTTTTTAAATGGACAGTGTACATTTATCAACATTCAACCAAACACCAATGTATCCGAACTAGCTTAAATTATAGTTTTCATCTGCAGTCCCTTAGTTGTTGTTTGGCCTATTGCCTCGGTGTTGGTGGTATTCTTTTTTGTGCTTAAATATGGTACTGGGTTAAAAATGTCAAAGGATCACCAACATTTTACAATTCATCCTGAGGGCAACGTGTCGTGCACCATAAACCAGAATTCATTTGAATCCAGTCTAGACAGATAGACAGAAGTTAGCATCTATTAGCATCCATTAGCATCCACAGACCTGGCTACAAACAGAGACATCCAGCAGGAGTTTAGAGGAGGATTCAGACTCAGCTGCGATGGAAGTGTAAATACTTTCTTCAGACTCTCTTCTTCTTCTTCTCATCAGGCCTCAGGGAGTCTCAGAGGAGCAGCAGGAGGAGAAGCAGGAGGTCAGAGGTCACGACGAGGGTCAGAGAGAGGAGGAGATGAAGACAGTCAGTCAGGATCAGACATGTCAACAGTGAGGAAGAGGAGGAGTGATGAAGAGGAGACCTGGAAACAACAGTGTTTAATGGGTGAGTCCGTCAATAATTCTCTAATTAAATAATTAGTTCAGTCAGAATGAACACTGAGGAGGTCAAAGGAAAGCATGCTGGGAGAGCGTGTGTGTGTGTGTGTGTGTGTGTGTGTGTGTGTGTGTGTGTGTGTGTGTGTGTGTGTGTGCGTGTGTGTGTGTGTGTGTGTGTGTGTGTGTGTGTGTGTGTGTGTGTGTGTGTGTGTGTGTGTGTGTGTGTGTGTGTGTGTGTGTGTGTGTGTGTGTGTGTGTGTGTGTGTGTGTGTGTGTGTGTGTGTGTGTGTGTGTGAGAGACAGCGTGATAATGCTACAGAACACAGTTATAGATCTACTCTAAGATGTGTTAACAGATGTTTTATTAGATGTATTACTAAATGTATTACAGTCATCTGAATCCCCACGGATAGTAGAGTGCATGTACTATATTACAATACAATATCGGTCCAAGTAAATACAATTAATTGATCATTTATCTCTACACTCACATTATGGCTTTTCCTTTATTGTCGCAGATCCGAAGTAACCAAAAGAACAATCATATTATCCGTCAACAAAACATGATTTCGCAATGGAGGATTTAAGGTTTGTTGTGGTTACAGGTTATTGTATCCCGGGAGGAGAAGATACCTGATGTCTCCATGACTGAGTTTTCACACTGAGGTCATGTGATCACCACTGAGCCACCTCCATCCCCCCCGAGGAGAACAGACCACAAGATGATTTTCAAAGCTGCGAAAAAAGCGAGAAAGTGGAGATTTTATTTTGGTCCATGTTCTTTTTTCAAAGGTTGGGAATGATACATCTTTATCTGACGTGTGTGTGTGGACCAAGCAGTAAACATACACACACACGCACACACACACACACACACACACACACACACACACACACACACACACACACACACACACACATATGGGTACTCCTCATACTATAAACTGAGAAACAAGGACTCTCCTGGGACCATGATGTCAAATGTGTGTGTGTGTGTGTGTGTGTGTGTGTGTGTGTGTGTGTGTGTGTGTGTGTGTGTGTGTGGCGCGATCTGTTTAATGGGCTTCTATTCATTTATTCTCACAAACACAGAAGTCATTTATTATCCCTTCCTCTCTGCTTCATGAATATTAATGAGTTGCAGGTGTGGTGGACGGAGTCAGTGCTTGGTCTCAATTCGGGTTCTTCCCTTTACACACTGCGATGTTGAACACTTGCATAGTGTGTGAAATTCAATGTGTACAATTATATTTCAGCTGCTGTGTCCTCAAAGGAGGTTATGATAGCCCAACCCGGTATCACGGCAAGACGTGAACATGTGAGCAGCACTTCTTTTAACTGATATTATACATATTATACTCTTATAGATGTATGTAGATAGTATAAGAAATGTGCAGAATATGACAGTTTAATGGTGGAGATATACACACATATTGATAGATGTCTTGTAATGCACTGTTGAGGAACCTGCGACCCAAGTTTTTCATTCATTGCATAACTACACTGTAGTTGTGTATAATATTATGTCAATAAACCTTAGCTTAGTAAATCTTGAAAGGGATGTGCAAAATAGTAATTATATACAGTCTTTAGTGAACTATTAGTAGAGAATAACGAGTAATGAATATACTTTATAGGGATCCTATTAATATCTAATAATAAAATAATGAAATTCAATAACATGCTTTAACCACTAGGTGTCCCTTTCTATCAGCTGTGCACCTTTATGGTGTAAATACAGCCTATCTACCAATTGGATCAAATATAAAAGTCAGCCGAATTTGTGTTGATACTGCAAGGAGACGTATTGTGTGAAAAGAAATGTAAGATGTTGTTTAATTGCTTATATATTTATGATCCACGTCACGTTTTCAGTTTTGGCGGCAGTTCTTCCTGTTTGTCTAGAAGTCTTCTCAGCAGGGCTCTATAGAGAACTACGGCAGATATGTAATATGTAATGCAGCCGAACCGTGTATTACAAAGCCGTTATGTGATGACTTCCAAAGAGAAAAGCAAGCACACTCGGAATAAAGTTTTTTTTTTTTTTTTTTAAATGTTTTCGGATTTCACATCGCATAAACACCATTTCCCAGCGTGCATTGCGGCTAAACCTTCCAATCATCGAGCTGAGGATCTTGCCTACGTCTGTTTCCGGTTTTGTTTATGACGGATGTATTTTGTTATACACACATTCCTTCACATTTACATTTTAATTTACATTAAAGTATTTCGTGAGGCCTTCTAACATGTTTTTAAATATAACTACGGTTGTAGTTGAAGAGTTTGTAAATTAACATGAACCGAAGCTGTTGCCTGGCAACGCAATCGCACAACGTCACTTCCGTTAATTCCACATCCACACGCATGGATTAACATCGATTTAATACATTAATGTAGCCTTTGATTCTGCTCAAAGAGGTGTCGACCAGCTGGGGCAACAAGAACATCCACGTAATCGAGTGTGACTATTAAAAAATAAATCATTATTATATTAATATTGACAATAACAACCGACCGTCGGGGTAGCATTTGCTTGGCATTTCCGGGTATTTCTCCAATGGTTAACATGGCTTAACAATACCGTGTAACTGTCACGTTTGAAGGGACGAAATCGTGACATCTTCACGTCTCCCAGCATGGTAAATCGTCACATGTTCACGTCTTGCCGTGATACCGGGTAGCGATAGCCACAGTTAGCTAGCTAGCTAGCAAGCAACGATCATTCGCGATGACAAATAAAAACAGGCTGCTCAACCAAGCCAATACAATTGTGGCTTAATATAGTGGTACCTCGCTTAAATATGAAAAATAACACATATTATTTATATTATTATTTGTATAGTGCTGTATTTACCTGACAGAAAGTCCCGTGAAATTCTGAAATCCCCAAGAAATGTCTGCTTTATTTTTGATCAACTCACAATTATATCAGTTTGCATTTATCCTCCACTGTTTTGAGCTTATTTTCAATTAAGTGAACATGGAATATCCAGACCCCGTGAACGTGACATGTCTTACAATAAGATTCAGCTTTAATTAATCACTTAATGTATGAAAACAGCAGATTAAAAAACAGTTTAATCCTCTCAGTCTGCAGGTTTCATCTGTTTAATGGAGGACAATGAACACAAGATAATAACATGAAGTCTCATTAAAACATGTCTTCTTCTTCTTCCTGTTCTTCTTCTATTCTAAAAAAATATATATTCCTCCCGCAGTTCTACAGTGATTACAGGTTCTGTTGTGATCATGAAATATTCACCGTGACCTTTTGTTCCTGCAGCTCTGATGAAACCCTTGGTATTGAAGTCATTTGTTCAGTGTGGGAGGAAACCCACAGATGTTATCAGAGCTGGATTCATCTCCAACATTTAACCTTTTACATTTCTGTGTGTGTTTAAATTTAGCTCTGGAGCTTTCTGAATGAGAGAAAGAAACACGTTTTCCACCTTTTCTGTTTCAGATGTTGTTGTTTTAAGACATGGTTGTTGTACTGTTGGGTGGATAAAGATGGACCTAAAAGATGGACCTGTGTGTTTTTCAGGTCTGATGAGACGTCACTGAAGCTGGATGGAGACGAACGAGCTGCTGATTCTGAACGATTCACCGACCTCAGAGAGGATGAAGAAACGTTGCAGCTGATCCATCTCTATCCTCCTCACTGAGACACCACTTTGTGATTCTCCCACACAGCACTTTCTGAAATCTGACTGTAGTGTATCCAGCAGGAGAGCACCAGAGGAGGGGTCGCTCTCCCGGGACAGACAGATGTGCAATAGATACTATAAGAAAATACACTTTGATCAGAACATCAAACACATCGTCCATCGCCAACTGAAAACCCACATGTTTAGCTTGTATCATTCATTTCAACATAAATACAAATACATTGATGCACTTTAGCCCATAATAATGCACAAGCACTTAGAATGGTTCGGCTTGTTGGAAGCAAACATGTCTGCATTTGTGTCTTTGTGGTTTATTGCATTCATTTTTTGTCGCCTTGGAGGTTTGAAGGAATTCTTCTGCACCTCATCAGAACCTGAAACTCTCTGACAATGTTCTGCTGACTGTGTCCTTAGAGTTTTATACTATAATCAATAATTATAATCATTATAATTATAATCATTATAATAAGGAGGGGTACATTTCATTCAGATGCAAAACCTTACGGGCGTCTTTTTCTTGTAATATCATGATTGCATTATCTTTTATAAATCAGATCTTGAGGCGATTTGCAGAGTTTGTGATTCTATCAGCATTAGCGAACCCTTCTTTGTGAATTCACCCGTCAGTGTTTTCTGTCTCCTTTCCTCTTCCTGTCTCTCCTGCAGTTAATTTTCCCCTGCAGCTAAAATGTTTTTTCCTCATTTGAATTTCAAGACGCTGAGCTCATTTCACTAAAACACACACACACTCTGTAAATCCAGGAAAGTCAGATTTTACTGCTCTGTGCTGCCAATAAAACATCGACCTGCAGACGTTTTACTACAGGACACACTGACAGGTCACTCTCTCTCTCACTCTCATTCTACCTCATGCTCTCTCGTCCATTCAGCTTTAACACAATATTGAATTATCAATATAATTTACTGTGTCTCTCTCTGCAGGAGCTCCATCTCGATATTGACGCCTCAGTGTGATTTACACATGGAGGAAATGAAGGCTGCAGACTTAAGAGCACTGGTGACTGATGCAGGTTTCAAATAAAGGTGAGAGATTGAAGCGTTTCATTACCTCCAATAACTGAACACCTGTAAATCTGCACCTGACGTATAAGAAAACCCTTTTAAATCAGGTTCATGCAGCCGGTATTTATGCACCTCCGTTTCTGCAGCTGGCAGAGCAACCCCCATGCACACGTGTAGATGTACCTTTATTTACTGCATGATAACACACACACACACACACACACACACACACACACACACACACACACACACACACACACACAAAAAAAAACGCCTCGAGGCAGCAATCTCAGAGGTCAGTCTGATGTCATCACTGACATCGAGGATCACAACATAACTCACATCAACACCGACACACACAGAGTGTTTACTGCTGCAGGCTAATGCAATCTGTGTGTGTGTGTGTGTGTGTGTGTGTGTGTGTGTGTGTGTGTGTGTGTGTGTGTGTGTGTGTGTGTGTGTGTGTGTGTGTGTGTGTGTGAGTGAGAGAGAGAGAGTGTGTCAGCTGTAACATATTCTCATGGAAACAGAAATACCACTATCTTTGCTGTGATTGGTCAACCACTTAGAGATGTCCCGCCCACTAAGCTTATCACGTACAATGTGTCGGGGCGCTAGCCAATAGTAGCGTGTGTGTTATTTAGTGATGTCACTATGTAACACTATGACCTTTTCCATTCACAGAACAATTAAAGAACACACTACAGGAAAGAGACCTGAAGAAGCCGAATAGGGCCTCTTCAACGAATGTTAAAAAACATCCGTAATCATAAAAATACCAATATCTGGATCTATATGGCTGTCACAGTAAATAGCTTGTCTGTCTGTCTGTCTGTGTGTGTGTGTGTGTGTGTGTGTGTGTGTGTGTGTATTATAATGAACACAGAATAATAAAATTGGACCCGCTGGATGAATAAAAAATGAATTATATTCCTCCTCCTTCTCCCCTCAGGTGAGAACAGGCTTAATTAAACGGTTCGTGGTCATTGTGTGTGTGTGTGTGTGTGTGTGTGTGTGTGTGTGTGTGTGTGTGTGTGTGTGTGT